CATCAAGTTTAAAGTTTTCTTCATATTCAACCATTGGTGTTTTTTTTTTTTGTTTGGATTCTGTAGATGTAAGGTATATTCACTCGATTGACGATGTTTGTTCATCAATTTTAGAGTTCTGTTCTTCTATTGGATGTTGTTTTTCTGGGAAATTGGTAGATTTTTGTACCATTCATTAGGTTGGTATAGTTATTCATTTTTTAAATTGTCAGATTCATCGTTTACCATAACTATGTAGTATTATTTTTTTGGTAAATGAGTAGATATTTGTGTTATTAATCAGTTTGGTATAATTATTCATTATTGAAATTGTCAAATTCATCGTTTACCATAACTATGTAGTATTATTTTTTTGGTAAATTACTAGATCTTTGTATTATTCATCAGTTTGGTATAATTATTCATTGTTGAAATTGTCGGATTCATCGTTTACTATAACTATGTAGTATTTTTTTTTTGGTAAATTACTAGATGTTTGTATTATCATCAATTTGGTATAATTATTCATTGTTGAAATTGCCGGATTCATCGTTTATCACAACTATGTGTTATTTATTCGTTAAATTTGTTCATCAATTTGGTAATTGGTATTCATCATAATTTGTTGTAAAATTTGTTTTGGGATAATCATCCGTAAAGGGATGTTATTCATTGGGTCAGCAATTATTATTAATTTATCGATTTCATAATCCCAGATTATTCATCATCTATATACATTTATTCATTAATTCATCGAACAGTCATTCATTAAGTTTGTGATACATCTGATACGTTGATATTAAGAAACAGACTAAAAAATTCATCACATCTGACAAGTTATTCATGGAATTTATAAACATATTGTAGCATGAGCGAAGAATATCAGACAGAATCTGAAAGAAGCATGAGCGAAGAACAACAATCAGAAGCCGAAAGAAGTAGGATATCTGAATCTACAAAAAGACCAAACCACAATAAGTGTAGACATTGATATAGAGGGTTATTCAGCAATTTTGTAAACTAGTATTATTTTTTTGGTAAATTAGTAGATATTTGTATTATTCATCAGTTTGGTATAATTATTCATTGTTGAAATTGTCGTATCATCAGTTTGGTATAATTATTCATTGTTGAAATTGTCGTATTCATCAGTTTGGTATAATTATTCATTATTGTATATCATCTACCTCATGAATTTTTTACTCCTTGTTTGCTACATGCAAATTGTTTCCAATATACAACACCAGATTTGGACATTTTCCAATATTTGAACCTTTTTATTGAAAAAATAGTGTGCTAGAATTATAAGCAGCAAAAGCCTCTTCCTCAGAGTTGAAGCATCGTCCAATTATTCATCAATAAGAACTCGTTATTCATTAATTAACGTAAGATATTCATCATAAAAGCGTAATAAGATAATACACCATCGGTCAAAAAATAACAATGAAATTTCTGTTCATCATTAACCATATAATACGCATTACCTTACGCATGTATATTCATCAATAAAACGAATACATTCTACATCAATCATCTTTCAATAATTGCATAACATTATTCATTGTCTAAACGTTGGTTATTCATTACTGGGAAAATACACATTGATTCTCCATATTCATAAGTCTCAATAATTAACCATAGTCAAATTTACTAAAATAAAATCCATCGTTATAAAAAAATTATCTCATAAAATAAAATAATATAAAAGCTAACATGATAAGCAAAAAAAAAAAATTAAAATTAAACGTGCGTAAAAAAAAAAGGTGATAAGATCAATGAGTTAAATTCTAAAAAAAAGGGGATAAAATTATGGGGATTAAATGCCAAAAAAATAGGGATAAATTTTGATGATTAAATGCGCGTGTGAGAACTAAAAATCCAGACTAAAATGATCACTTTTTTCTCTTAAGTTTGTGATACACATACTGCCTGAGTACACCTTGCAAGGTGTACCTAGGATCTTAATATTATTTGTCGGGTCGATCCCACAGAGAAGGAATACTAAGTACCAGGTTAAAACTATTTCTTATTATTATTTAGATTAACAATTTATCAATTTTAAACTATTCTAAACCTAAAACTAACAATTGCAATTATTTAAAGATATAAATAAGTAAAAGAAAAATATAGGACAAAGGGTTCACCAACCGACTATTCAGTTTAATTTAATTTATAAATATGTGACTTTCGACTCTCATTAATCTCACGATAATTCACTAATCTAAGAATTATACACTCTCGTGTCATAACCCTCTTGCTTAAACTAACCTTGTGACTAGTCTCGTGACTATAGGGATTAATAAAAGCACATTAAGAATTTTGGAATTACTAGTCGCAAAGGCGGTGTTCCTACTCTCGTGGCTCACTACCTAAGTTTATTATTCCTACAAACTAATATTAGCCTTCCACTCTCGCTACTTCAGCTAGCACCTTAAAGCATGCAAATATTGATCAGGTATTCACATGGATGAAAAACAAGAATAATAAATATTAATTAATGAAAAAGTCACAACCATGAGTTAAATTAAATTAAATAGTACGGCGGTTACATCTAAAACCCTAGATTAAATAATTTAGCTATACATTATCTCAAAAATAAATAAAATAATAAAACCCGGGAGAGAAAAGTCGCAAAATTGAGCCCGGAAATTGATCCAATGCTGCTCCTCTTGGCGATGATGGTGCGTAGGTGATGAGGTGCTGTTTTGCTTGGGCTAGGGGATGTTGGAGTTGGTTTTGGAGTTTTGTGCGTGAGAAGGCTGGTGGAATGAGGTGATGGAGTTGATTAAGGTGATGATGGTGAGAGAGAAGAGGGGGCTGCTGGTTCGGTGATTCGGCAGTGGAGGGCGTGGGTTTTCGATCAAATTCCTACTTCTTGGAGAGGAAGAAAATTTGTTTCCCAAATAATATTGGGATTAAAATTCTTACCAAATTTAACCTCAAAAGCTGCACAACCTTAAGCTCTTCAGTCGTCTAAATCTTCAAAGTTTCTGATTCCCTCCTCATTAGTTCTTACAATCTTCACTTAGGCCCTTTTTAGTTGCTCTTTCTTTTCAATTTAGTCCAATATCTCAACAATTCTTCCATTTGAGTACAATTTCTACAATCAAAGATAAAATCATATAAATAGTATATTTGTACTCAAAACATTGGTAAAATCTCGTATAAAAGGATATTAAAAATAGATAAATTATGAGCACATCAATTAACAACATAAAAGATGCAAAAATTATTTATAAGGAAAACAAAAATAAAGCAAGAAAAATGAATACAAGCTAATGAAATTAATAATGAATTATTAGCAATTTTGCATGAAATTTGATCAAACTGGGGGATCCTAACCATTTAAGCAATGTAGATCATTATCTTGACAATTTCATCAAAGTTGACTGGACCATCACCATCTAAGTCAGCCTCTCTAATCGTCTGTTCCACTTCTTCATCGCTTAATTTCTCTCCTGAATTGATCATCTCGTGATCCCAAAGCCAAAAACAAATTTCTTAATTTTTATTGTAAAATTATTTCAAGGAGTTAAACTCAATTAGGTGTAAATGACAAGTGAATGAAACAAGTCAGAATTCAAAAGCATTCAATGGGATTTGGATAGGGTTTATTGCATTTGGCTTGAAAACAATTGTAAATATTAAAGTAACTAATTAGATTTGTTTTGAGGCTAAATTCAGTGATAGATCAATTAACATGTGAACCACTCGCTGTACTATTGTAGTGATAGAATAAATGCGACCTTGTTTATCTCAATTAGAGCAAAAAAATGGTCTAGAAGATAACACAATGGTGTATAACAATTGTGTATTTACGCTGATAAACAATTGTGTATTTTTACATTCCAACAAACCTTTTCCCTTAACGTAAAAAAGAAGAACCACACGCAAATTGTTACTTTTAATTTAAAGCCAAAATCATGCCACGGACTTCTAAAATCCGGGACAAAATTTGAGTCCGGAGTCTGAATTGTCCTTTTTCTTATTTCACTATCCATAATGTTCCTTTATAGTTTTCAGATGGTTTAGTTTCAGAGTAAATGGCTTACACTAAATGAACACATCGTTATATTTCCTGTATGGGGTGTTTTCTTAGGCCGGCAATTGAGAAACCAATCATCTCAAAAATCCTCCATTTTCAATTAGACTACTAAGATAACTATGTATCGTTATATTTTCAATTAGGATATTTAACTAGATTAAATTTATCAACGTAAAACCCACAAAAAGACTATTATCACAATTTTATACTATTATTACATTTTTTTACGATAATGGTGTCATTTGTTAATAGTTGACTTACTTTTATATCCATGTTAAAGTTGCAAAACATGCAATCTTTTTGTTGAAATCAGTTGCGTCGATAGTTTCGTCAACTTAGCTAAGACGACGAAGAAGGTGACGAATGCAAAAAATTTTGTTTTAGATTATTTTCAAGATTTTTTTTAAGGTATTATTGTCTGGTAATTAATGACATCTGAATTTTTAGATTAATAATGTTGTACTGCGTCATTCACAAATTTTAGATTTCTTGGATAATTAACTAATGTTGAAGTAGATTTCTAATGTTGTCATAGTTAAGGGCTTACACGAAATGGACACTTTTGTAGTGTTAATTTGTTATATTACCTGAGTGGGGATTGATTTCTTAAATAAGGTGGAATAACAAGTGTTTACAGCTTTCTCGAACCTGCCTGGAACATTATGAATACAATCTTGATAGCAATTCGAGTTTTTTTTTTTTCTTTCAGAAAATTAATATGGTTTGTAAATAGAAGGACAGTGTGTTTTACACAAACTTTTACCAAAAACAATTTGAGAGAGCTAGCTATTGAGATGGTTAATACCAAATATGCTAAATCCTTCATCTATAAAATGTGGTCGATCTTGGCTTAAGTTCTCAACACCAACTCATAATTAGTCAAAGAGAGAGTGAGTGTAGTCAGGAAAATATATAATGGCTCATAATTCTTTGGGAGTTCTCTATGTCCTTTTTGTCCAATACTTCATTAGCCTCAATGGAGGTTCTGCTAGCTTGGATATTGAGGAGAGAAAGGCAAGTAAATTTCATTCAAATCATTAATCAGTTACAATCTTTTTTTTTCTTAATTGATGCAATTCGTGCTTAATTTCCTATCTATTAGAACATGTTTCAGATTTTAATCACTATTTGTTTTGTTCAATATATGTGGATTATGCAGGTTTACATCGTTTACATGGGGTCCCTTCCTGAGGACCCAACATATTCACCATCAGCGAGCCATCTCAGTATAATTCGACAAGTCGTTGATCCGAGGTAATACCTCGACACACATATTGATATGGTTTTTTCTTAATATCTTATTTCATGTCGTTTTCCGTTCTGGCATTATATTTGATGATCTGTTTGATGATTTGATCAAAAAAGTATGTGGAGAAACAAAAGATGGCTGGTAAGATTAATTTTATGTTACCACTTACATGAATGAATGAAGCAGTGAGTACGAGGATGAAATTAATCAAGTAGTGCGCGCGTTAATATGAACAGAGCATGAGGAAGTGGTACTGATTTTCCCCAGCCAAGATCGACAACTCCATACAACGGCATCCTGGGATTTCATGAACTTTAACCTTAATGCGTCTCGGCTTCCTCAATTCGAGAGTGACATCATCGTCGGATTCCTTGACACCGGAATCTGGCCCGAATCAAGAAGCTTCGATGACTCAGGATTAGGTCCAGTGCCTGAAAAATGGAAGGGGATTTGTGAAGGTGGCAAGGATTTCGCTTGCAACAAGTAATCATTATATAGTACTTAATTTCAATTTTGAATTAATAATGCTCCATTTCTTCCGGGTTTATACTTCCTTTTAATTTGTTGAGACCTTTCTTAATAATACTCCGTGGCTGCTGTACGTGCAGTAAAATCATTGGAGCCCGTTACTATACCTCTGCCTCTGCGAGAGATTTCGACGGCCATGGAAGTCACACTGCCTCCACAGCTGCCGGCGTCATCGTCCCAAATGCGAGTTTCTGTGGAGTTGGAAAGGGTACAGCCCGAGGAGCAGTTCCTTCTGCAAGAATTGCTGTACATAAAGTTTGCGATGAAACCTGTTGCGCAGATGAGTTAGTATTTGCTGCTTTCGACGATGCCATCCTGATGGAGTAGATATTCTTTCAGTGTCCCTGGGAACGAATTATCCAGCTGATGTAAAAGGGGATTCTATAGCCATTGGATCGTTGCATGCTCATGTAAAAGGAATCCTCACTATCCAATCGGCAGGAAATGACGGTGATCGTCCAGGCTCTGTTTCTGGTGTTGCACCATGGTTATTCACAGTTGGTGCTAGCACTATAAGTCGCAGATTCGTCACCCCTGTAGTACTCCATGGCCATGGAAAGGAAGAAATACTATCTGTATGATTTTTTTTTTTTTCTTTCCCCCTCTCTACCCTGTCTTCTAAGTTTGCTCTAATATTAAATATCTGTCTGATTTTCTGGTGTAATTAACAGGGCCAGTCGATTAATGGTTTCGAATTGAATGGAACAGAATTCCCGCTGGTTTATGGATAGAAAGCTTCAAGGAAATGCAGTGTGACTAATGCAGAGTATATATTAATCATTCTACTAGTTCAATTTTTTGGTTATGATGGTCAATGTCATCATCAATCATATATATACATACAATAACGGTGTCCACTTTCGTGTTGCAGGAGGTGTGCCTACAATTGTCTGGATAGAGATCTTGTCAAGGGGAACATTGTGGTTTGTAACGTAACTTCCTCCCTGGAGGCATATTATGAAGTTAACCGAACAGGCGGTGTTGGTGTGATTACTGCCAAAGATATGAGCGGCGCAGGCAGTGCTTTTGTTACTCCATTTCCGTCCTCAGCTCTCAGTCCTCCGCTATTCCAGCGAGTGGTAGACTTCATCAATTCTAAAAAGTGAGTATTTTGCCGTGTGTTTTTCACAATTTAAGTAGGAGTTTCCACATGAGTTATGAAGAATCTCATTTGATTCTGCTGTGTTTAAAGGGTTTGTGATGACTGAGTGTTGCACCATCCTTTTTCTTAAGATTCTCCAGTCGTGATTCATACCAATATATATAGCCTAACTCATTTTGAAATCAAAAAATATATCCTCAGTCATCCCTACTAATAATTTCTTCATTTCTTCTTGAATTTTAGATCGCCTACAGGGAACTTGTTCAGAAGTCTAGCTATTAAAGATGATGGCACTGCACCCAATGTTGCTCCCTTCTCGTCCAGAGGGCCTAGTGTTTATAACATTCTTAAGGTACCCTAAATGCTATCAACAATATTTCTAGTTTGTTCTGTTTTAGACATATTTTTTCTTCATAGTGCACTAAACTCATCGTACATTTCAAAACTGCGCAGCCGGATATAACTGCACCTGGAGCCAATATCCTGGCGGCCTTCCGCCCTATTGTTTCTCCCTCAGGCGTTTCTAATCTTGATCACAGATCGGTGGATTACAATTTCTTATTAGGAACATCAATGGCGTGCCCTCATGTCACTGGGGCAGCTGCATATGTGAAATCCTCACACCCCCGCTGGTCTGCTTCCGCAATCAAATCGGCTCTGATGACTACCGGTACATCATGACTAATTACATTCCCGTCTCTCATTGACTTTTTAGCCGCTTCTTGTGCCTTAAACTCATACCTAATTAATTTGTTTTCTCTGTTACTTCATTCCAGCTTGGAAGATGAAGCCGAGCGACGCGTACCATGGGGGATTCGGAATTCTCGTACGGAGCAGGACACCTGAACCCGATACAAGCCGCGCACCCAGGGCTTGTTTACGAGACGTCACAAACAGACTACGTCAGATGGATCTGCGGCAAGAACGTATCTGCAAAAGTGGAGAAGTTGTTTGGATACAATGTGGGCTCCGGTGGAGTGATTCCCCTCCAAGACGAAGATCTGAACTACCCACCCATGTCCGCTAAGTTGTGGGAAACCAGACTCTCACATTGACGTTCACAAGAACCGTTAAGAATGTTGGTCTACACAACTCAACGTACACCGCGGAAATCACCAGCTGCTCCCCGAATCTGGACATCACCGTTCATCCAAACTCTCTTTCTTTCGACCAACGTCACACTACCATGTCTTTTGCAGTGACAGTTCAAGTCGGATCTTTCCAAGGCTTAGCATCGGCGCCACTTGAGTGGTACGATGGCAATCATACTGTGAGGAGCCCTATTGTGGTTTTCACAGACAACTGATTGCCTCGTCTGTGGAAGTCAGAACAAATACAAATAAAATAAAGTGGAATTTTTATAATTTGGTTGGCTTGCTTAGTGTCTCTTTTGAAACATCAACTTAAAGTTGTTCAAAAACTACAAGGTTGTCGGGTAAATCAGGCCAATCCTTATGTCTAAGTCCAACTTTGTAATCATCAATGTAATCAAATCGAAGTTTCCATCAGAACAAATCTTCAGAATAAATATCGACAACCCGCGTACGTAAACTTCAACTGAACAAATCCAGTTGACCTGATGCTGACAATAAGTCCTGTTTTTCAGGAGTAGAGATTTCATCAATAGAAAATATTGGCCAACAAGAATACACAGAAGGACCAAAAATAAGTGATCAGATACTCATAAGAATGCTTAAATGACAACAAGGGCAAAGCGACAGAATAGTTACGAAAGGAAACTGGAGAAGATTTTCCAGGTCTTGATTTGAACTCAGGATGAAATAGAACCACCAACAATGCACGGATGATTTGGTAGTACAATAATCTACAGGGTCAAGGAAAACAAAACAGTGAATTCAAAGCCAAATTTTTTATTTTATATTATGTTCTTTAAAAGTATTTGGAAACGAAATATCATAATAAATTTTACTAATTTTTCTTGTTTATTTTTAATTTCAACGGTTTTTATTTCTTTCATTTCTTGACTTTTTCTTCGAGCTAGGGTTTTACCCAAGCAGTGTAACTAGATTAGGCATGCCCATGGTTCTGGAACCGCCGGTTACGGTTCTAGAACTGGCGTTTCCGGTTTGATAAAAATAAGAACTAGAACCTACCCTTTATACAATGGTTTTGGTTACAGTTCGATAACTGTCGGTTCTGGTTCTGTTCTGATTCTGATTTTGATTCTACATTGTGGCGGTTTTGGTCACAATATTTTTTGTTGGGTCATTTTTTTTTTTGTTAAAAGAATCTTTTTATTTTTCTTTTTTGAAAAGTAATATAAATTGTGTTGAGTAAGAAATTCATTTTTTATATTTGAAAAAAAAATAGGACGGTACTTGGCATGTATACCTCAAATTTTAACTATATGAAAAATAATAGTACATGGTGCGTAAAAGTTACTCAAATCAATAAATCATCCTTACAAACATTATCTGTATCGAAGTAATATAAAGGGGGAGTTCACCGGGTCAGCGCCAATTTTTGTACCGTTGCCGGTCGGTCAACCCGGTGAACTCCTTTGTTCTTTCGGCTTTGTCGTCTCCTCCTCCTTCTCTTTATCTTATTCTCTGGGCATCCAATTCAACCGGCAGTTTCATAAGAGCAAATACTCCATGAATCTTTGCTCCTTGCGCAAAAGGGATTTTCGCCCAAAATCTGAAGCCCTATAAAATCAAAATCAAAATCCAATCTTTATGCATCCTGTGGGAGAAATGCGAGCGAGAAGAAAACTTCAGAAACGGATTTTAGGGATTCAACCCTCCCCGTGTCGGCTATCTATAAGAAGAAGGATTTTAGTGAAATTCATGAAAGTGGTCCATTTTTGAAAGATTTCTGCTCTTAAAGGCTCTTCCATCAGTTCCTTCTTCACATTCTATTGAAGTGATGAAGCATCAGTAGTGAGTTATTATTATTGAAGAAGATGACGATGACAATGAAGGCCCTCTTTGCATACAAGTTCAATGGGTTGTAAAAAATCGGAAGGGAATTAACGCCGGTCGAAGTCTCAAAGATGGTGGGTATGATCGTTTAAAGGAAAAAAGTAATCTTTCGGTGACGGAGATAAAGGGTGCGACGGAGAACAACATTTCTTTCTCAAAGCGGTCTACTGGTGGCAGTGGAGGGGAGGGAATTGATGCTTGAGATTTGAATTCAAGTAAGGCTTCCAGTGTTCTTATGTGTTTCACGAAGTAGGTTATGTGTTCCTTGAATTCCTGTTTTGGCCTCTTTAGCTTAAGATATTCTATAATTCCTTTACTGCTGATTTCATTTGGTGCGTTATTGGGTTTATAATTATAGGTCTGTTCATTGCACAGTAGGTGTTTGTTTTTATGCCTAGCTGAATTTTCGTATGTAAATCTGTTGAGAAAAATATTTGGTTTCTGTCTTGGTGCAATTTTCTCAGAGTCTGTTTTGAGCGAAGAATTAATTCAATTTGCAATGCATATTCTGAAAAAATTCAATCAAAATGTGCAGGTTATGTTGTTCTTGGGGATATGTTAATACAAGAATATATTCATCGCAGTAGCTATCCAAAAAAAAAAACTTGTAATCCAGAAACCAATTGCTTCTCTATCTTCTCTATTCACTGCTAAATTGGATACAAAAATATATTGATATCATCTATGAGTACTCTTTAAGAACAGGCATTCAGGCCAAACTGAAAACTCAATAGACACAGAGTAGGTCCTTTGTCAAGTATTTTGAAAGATATCTCAACTAAACTTCTGTGATTCGACCGCATTTTTATATGCTATAATCGGTATTAAATTTAATTAGTACTCTTGATGTTTCCACACCACCTATAAGTTACTACTACCTTCCATTGGATTGTGTAAAGTAATAGAATTAAACAAGAAACAATCAATAAAACTTAGGACTGAAATTGCAATTCAACCTATCTTGACAGTTCGTCATCAAAGGAGAATCTTAGTTTGAAGGAAGATACTTGTTCTGCTACCTCTGTATTTTATTTGATTTTGAGTTTGATCATACAGTTTATCAAAACAGTTTTTAATGTTTTATGCAGAGAATTACAACGTGCTTATATTTTCAAGGTAAGATATGAATAATTTGTGTAAAGACGGGAAATTTTTACCCATGTCAAAAGTTACTATCTCTAGACATAAAGCTACACCTACCATCTGGGATTTTAATTCCAGGATTATGTACTTACTGTATGAGTTTAGTTTTAGGAGTATGTAGTTGCTGTATGGAACCTGAAATTCAATCTTTTAAAGATTTGACGTCTGCTAATTAGATATCGTTTTTCTTGTGCAACAATTAGTGGTAACTGGTAAACCATACTTGCAGGAACTGGCGATTGTTATAACAAACTCTTTTCATGAAGGACATGATGGACAAGCTTGACAACAAAATGACTCTTCTTTCACGTTGACATTGCAAAATTGCAAATCATAGTATTTCTTGCAAATACCAGTTGAGGTATGGTGCAACTATATGACAAGCCAATGCTAAGAAGTCAGATCATGATTGTATATTAAGTAAACATTAAATTATTAAAATTGTCGGGGTCAGACCGCACCTTGTGCGGTCCCCCATCTTGTTTTCAAAGGATAGTTTTCAGGTCTAACATCTTGTTTTTGGCATTTTGATAGTGCCTTCTCCTGTTTCTGTTAAACAAAGACTTCTCAGAATATCCAGGTGACTTGAAGAAATGACATACACAGTCGCAGCATGAGTGCCCCGGAAAACTGCCTACAAGGAGGGTGAGCAAGATTTCTCTTGGAACACAAAATCGAAGAATGCAAGGTGAAGTACGGTTCTGATTAATAGTTAAGAATTGGATTTGTTTTACTACTAAATCAAAGTTGAAAGTTGATGACTGATTAGTTACAGCTTGATTAAGTGATAAACATGACTGTTGTTGATTAGTGAGAGCATCAATCAGCCGAACACAATTTGTCAATTTATTTCCCGAGAGGAAAATCTGTTTAGCTTTCTGCAATCCTTTTTTTCTAGTGTATTCTCAAATTTTTCTGGTTGTTCCTATGATTGAAAAGGATTTGGATCCGGCAGTATTAAAAATATGCCAAATCCGGTTACGAAAATAATCAAGATGCAAGAAGTTGAAGCCCGCCTGAAAACGAAGAGATCATTCTTCAGTGTGGATGCTCCTATTGTAGTAAATAATTCTCATCATAGATTTCAGTTTTTTTATAGTTCAATCTATCAAGATTGAAATTGTATATAAAGAGAGAAGTAGTTGAACTTAAGGGTCATTTAACATCCTGTATTTGCCAAGACTTGCTATTTCATTCATCAAAGAATTTCTCTTCAAAATTAATATTAGTGTTGAATTGGCTTTCATTTGGCCACTACTTTCTGTTTTGAGATATTTATTTTAGATAATATATGGACATTTCCTTTCATCCCTCCGACCTAAAAACAGTCTCTGGGCTCAAATTAACCCAAGTCGCACCTTGTGCAGCCACACCCACCCTAGTATATGAAAAAGAGATAGTTCATGTCATATTTGAAACAATAACTATGTAGCGGTTTAACTGGTTATTGAACTACCGATTTATTTTTTAAACAACGATAAAATAACTATGTTGGCAGATTTAGTTTTTTTTAAAAGTTAAACCAATGTAACCGTAAATTGAATTGGTGATTTTTACGGTTTAGAACCGTCGGTTCACGATTTTCAAAATAATAGAACCTTAACCGAACCACCATTACAAGGTTCGGTTCCGATTTTAGAACCTTCAAAAGCTGTTCAAGAACCAAACCTTATTTTTCGGTTCGGTTCCGATTTGGTTCCGGTTCGAACCGGAACCTTGGGCATGCCTAAACTAGATCGCACCATGTGATCGGATATTTTTGTTCGTCGATATTAATCTGGCCGGATATTTTTGTTCATCAATAAGAATCCGGCCAGCTTGACCGTCTTACATGCAAAGCTTTCTTCTTCCTTAAAATAAATATCAAATACGATAATTCCTTATCGGGTAAACATCGTACTTTGAGTAAAACGCACAATCGTCTGCATGGATTGGTCTAGGCAAAAATCACGTAAACAATACACAATCTATGAAATTGGCCAACACCTACCTGGTATTTCATTAGGCCGAGATCGAACTAGTTGGAATAAAGAGAGTAATGGTTTGTTCTCTTCTAGTTCGACATTGTTAACGTTAAGACCTAGTGCTTCAATACAACCTTTTTGGGTGGAATGGACGTTGTTCCCCTTTCTCATCTTCTCTCGGCAATGCCGCATTTTGTGGTGAAGAAAGTTCTATCAAGGAATCTCTCCTGAAGAGATCTCTAAAGTTGCCGGATCATCGGAAAATCACCAGCTGTCGACGAGAGTCCCAAACCCTTCTTTTCTTTTTTTTTAGGCAACTTTATTAC